GACATAAGAAGACGAAAAACCACAAAATAGTTCATTGACCAACTGCTACAAGGGGAATGTCCAAAGTTTTACTTTTGCATACTGTGAAAATCGTCATGCAGCGTTTTGGGATGCTGCTTCAAATACGCAACGAGATTGGACGTAATAAATGTCTCCGGTTCTGTTCCACCACGAGAAACTTGTGCAGGACAAGTTTTGCACTGAGCCACACTGTCTTTTTCAGTCTTTAATGAAAAATACTGCCACTCGGCCGTCATCTCTCTTGTTCCTTGCTACATTACTAGCACGCGCTTTTAAGATCATGTGGGCTTTGCAAGCTGGATTTGGGTGCTGTTGGATAGAATTGCTGTTATGTTGGAAAATTTTGATGCAGTCCAATTTAATCAATAATAATCAATAGCTGTTTCCGATATCAGTATCGGAACGGGCCATCCTTAATTATAATGTGTATTTAAAAGATAATCTAATATTGTTATGTTGTCATTTATTTCCCTGAATAAGAAGACAGTGGTGAATCACATCATGACTATTCAAAGATTTGATTTTTGCGGAAAATTAAAGCTTATAAACTTCAAAACAGAAAGGCTAATTAATATAGGGTTGAGTTTGTGTACATAGTAGTTTTGAACTGAAGTTGCCAACCGCTTGTGTGTCTAAGTGTGATTTTTGCAAATCTCAATGTGTGTGGTCCTGACCTGTCCAGTAATCCTGGCTGTGGAAAGGCCAAAGTGTCTCTGGCTCTCCAGCTGACTCCACTCGGCTGTCGCCCCACAGAGCGCGCGTGTGTGTGTGTGTGTGTGTGTGTGTGTGTGTGTGTGTGTGTGTGTGTGTGTGTGTGTGTGGGCTGAATGTTAGCGTGTCATTGTGCATTGATGTGTGCGTGTTTGCATGTGGATGCATACTTGCGTGCTGTGTTCCTGAACATCTGTGCAAGCTTGTCAGTTTGCGATGGAGAGTTGAAAGATCCGAGTCTCCGTGTCAGTTGATGTTTTGCAGACACCCCCAGCTTTGCTGTGGCTGCTTCCTGTCGCCACAGCCAGATCAAGTTGTGATAGAAGTTAATCTATGTCAGCTAGATGACCCTTCATTTTGCTGATACTGCTTCTACTCAAGTCTCCACAATGAACTGCCCTAGTCTTTATAATTCAATTAACAATGTTACCCCTCCCAAGAAGTTTGTTTTTGGTGACTTTGCACTAACTTTTCCAGAGTTTTGGAAAAGGCTGAAAAAACTAGTTGTTTTACGAAATGTTAAAAAAAAATTCCTTATTTATTTTCATTTTATTTTGGACACATAAAATTACTTCACAAAATGAAACAAAGAAAAAGAAGGAAAAAAATGAACATTTTAAAAAACATAATCTAAACAATTTACTTAAAAAACAAAAGCAAAAACTATTCAAGCATTCGAAAGGGGATCAGGAAGAAGCAACAGCTTTATCCACTCCTATCCCAATTACTCTTTAAACGTTCTTAACCACAATTAAAGGTAAAATCTTAAAATAATTATCAATACAGATACAAATGCCTATCCAGTTTGTTATATAAGTTACAGTTCCATGTTTTTGCAAGGTCCCCCTTCAAAGGAAAAACAAAAATTAAATTTTTTATTAAATGGCCAGAAAATGTTCAGTATTATTTCATCATGCTCTGCTCAGAATTAAACCCAGTTAAAATGCAAGTTGTGCAAATTTACCTTTTTAAATATAACTAATAAAAGATTGACCTCTTTTAAATATTCAAAATAACAAAGACAATATTTTACAGTTTTATGCTTTTATTTTGAAAATTATAATACTACAAAAGCTTGTTGTCGAGCAAAAACTTTGTATGTCCATTTTTCATGATTTAAATTTAAATTGTATTTGGTCGTTTTTCACATCTGTCAGCTTTTAATGGGTTAATTTTCAATGAAAAGAGTCAAAAAGAGATCAGGACATGGGAAATGTGTGTTTAAATGCAAATCAACTGCAAACAAATAAAAAAAAATTCTCTATGTCAATTTGTTTTCTCTAAAAAGATGGAGGTCCATGTGCTTTGTAGTGCCCCCTTCATTTCTGTCTGCCACATACAGAACAGTGAGCTGCTGGTGCTAATGGTGGGATTAGTTCACATGCTGACAGCCTTCATCACAGGAGAGGCACATGTAACCCACGGACACACACATGCAGACACACCCTCATTCAAACGTGCATGCGTGAACACACACACACACACACAGTCAGAATCTTTCAGCTGTGGCATTTCATGCACCATAAAGAACTGGCAACGTGTGTTTTTTTGTTTATGAAGCTCTAAAATGTTTTTTCCCCCTCTGATTTTGTGTTTTGTTTTTGTATCCTATCACATGATTCAGTTTGGGTTTGGGTTACCTAATCAGCACCTACACCCTGACATAGACAGTTCTTGGTCTCTGTAAGCTGACAAAATGTAGAACAAATTCAGTATACATATTTGGCTGAAATGAAGACCTCTCTTTGTAAACACTCAGCATATTCTACTTTGCTAACTCTTAAAATAGGGCCTTCAACTACTCTAGCAACAGTGGACTGTAGTCTGGATGGACAATTGAAGATCAATACCATCCATCCATTTTCTGAACCCGCTTGTCGTCGCGGGGTGGGGGGGGTGTGTGGGGTGGGGGTTGGTGCCTATCTCCAGCGGTCAACGGGCAATCAGGCGGGGTACACCCTGGACAGAGAGCCAGTCCATCGCAGGGCAACACAGAGACACACAGGACAAACAATCATGCACACACACCCACACCTAGGGACAATTTAGACAGACCAATAAACCTAACAGTCATGTTTTTGGACTGTGGGAGGAAGCCGGAGAACTCGGAGAGAACCCACGCATGCACAGGGAGAACATGCAAACTCCATGCAGAAAGATCCCAGGCCGGGAAGCGAACCCAGGACCTTCTTGCTGCAAGGCAACAGCTCTAGCCACTGCGCAGCCTGAAGATCAATACCTATAGTTAAAGCACAGCAGTAGCTGTAATAAGGGGGAAAAAAATCATTGTTATTGATGTGTCTCCATCAGTGAGCTGTTAATAATTTGCTGTCATATTATAGCACCCTGTAGCTTGGCAGTAGATTTATACGGTATCTGCTGCATAATATTAGGGTCATATTTAGATACAGTGTTATTGAATACTGTAGTGATGACATCATTTGCTCAAAAGCATAATTTTATATTCTCTGTTGTGCCCCCGCAATGTTTTTTTTCCCCATGGCTTTCCATATACTTTAGCAACCCAACTTGTGAACATGTACAGCAGCCAGGCTCATTAACATTACTGGCATTCAGTTTGTCTTGGTGATTTATTGCAGACTTTTCCAATATTGATAATGCAGTCATTGTATTGAAGATATTTTTTCATATTGTGTATACCTCTAATATATACAGTTGTGCTCAAAGGATTTTAAACCCTAACAGAAATGGTGATTTTCTTTTTTCCATTTTTCAGAGAATATGAATGATAACAGAAAAACAAAACAAAAAAAACTTTCTTTCAATTATGGTTAGTAGTTGGGTAAGGTATTTATTATCAAACAATCGTGTTTTCCATTTTTCCGTTATATTGACAACAGAAAATACCCAAGTTACCCTGATCAAAGATTTATGGATTCATTTACATCTGGGTGGGCCCAGTCTGGTCTTGGTAGCATCGGCCCAATGGTGCACGGCCAGATTTTGTTCACACAGCCTCCTTGGGAACGAGTAAATCTCTCAGCACGTGGCCAGGGCAAAAAAAAAAAAAAAAAAAGTAATGTGTCTATAGTTATATTGTGATGTCTTAGTAAATATTCTATTTGGTGAAAGATAAACTTTATTGTATTTATCCTAGTGGATCTATAATTAAACGGATAAACCAGGATGAGGTCCTTCCCCAAGTGGAGGAGCTTAAGTATCTCGGGGTCTTGTTCACAAGTTAGGGAAAAGTGTGAGATCGATAGGCGGATTGGTGCTGCATCTGCAGTGATGCGGGCGTTGTACCGGTCTTTCGTGGTGAAGGGAGAGCTGAGTCAGAAGGCGAAGCTCTCAATTTACCGGTCGATCTACGTTCCTGCCCTCACCTATGGTCATGAGCTTTGGGTAGTGACCAAAAGAACGAGATCACGGATACAAGCGGCTGAAATTAGTTTTCTCCGCAGAGTGGCTGGGCTCTCCCTTAGAGATAGGGTGAGAAGCTCGGTCATTCGGCAGGGGCTCGGAGTAGACCCACTGCTCCTCCACATGGAGAAGAGCCAGTTGAGGTGGCTCGGGCATCTGGTCAGGATGCCTCCTGGACGCCTCCCTGGTGAGTTTTTCTGGGTACGTCCAACCGGGAGGAGACCTAAAGGTAGACCCAGGACATGGTGGAGGGACTATGTCTCTCACCTGGCCAGGGAACACCTTGGGATTCCCCCGGAGGAGCTGGCCCAAGTGGCTGGGGAGAGGGAAGTCTGGGCCTCTCGCCTTAGGCTACTGCCCCCGCGACCCGACTCTGGATAAGCGGATGGAAATGGATGGATGGATGGATGGATTTAATAAGTTTTGATCATTAAATGTAATTTACATGGCATTCTATACTTTTCAGAATTATTTGTTCTGCAATTCATCTGGTATGTGAGATTGTCATTTTTACATGTATAAACAGAAGAAATGAATATACTGCAGTATATGTTGTTACCACACGTGCTTCAAAATTTATCGCGATATAGATTTTAGGCCGTGTCGCCCATTCTTACTTGGAAGCATCTGGCCTAAGTTTTCTAAGTTAATTCAGTTTTAAAAGTTGCAACACCTTTTACTAAAGGCCAGGTGTTATGTTTGGTTTTCCCTGTATCTATATCACCATGTATTGTCAATATGCACCCCTATAGTTTACATAGAGCAGTGCTGCTAAAATGTTTGTTTTTAAATTCTACTCAAATCTAAATTCTGTATTTATAAGTCCCATTTAACCAGAAATCCCATCATATTAAAATGACTCACTGAAATGACTGTTTCTACAGACCGACGTACTGGTGGTGAGCTGTGACCTAATATCGGACGTGGCCCTTCATGAGGTTGTCGATCTATTCCGAGCCCATAACGCAACACTGGCCATGTTGATGAGCAAAGCCCATGAATTCACTGAGACCGTCCCGGGCCAGAAGGGCAAGAAAAAGACCGGTAACAGGAAAATTAATTAGAGATGATAAAACTATAAATCTGACATTGCATGCTGTTTTCATATTAAGCATTTTAAACTGTATTTTTGCTCTTCTCCTCTGTTGAAATGGCTGATTTGACATGTTTATTATGATGTGTACTTTACTCCAGCTGAGCAGAGGGACTTTGTTGGTGTGGATCAGTCGGGGAAGAGACTCCTGTTTATGGCCAATGAAGCCGATCTGGAAGACGGGCTCTCAGTTAGGAAATCTATTCTAAGGAAGTAAGTCCACATAAAAACTAAAATGCCAGTGATACGTGATAATAATAATTTAACTTGATCTAGTTTTTATGTGCAGTAGGACTAATCATACACAACTGTGACCACAGTTTGTTTGATTTGGTGCTCACCTCAAACTAAATCCAAACGATCACTGAAACTTCACATGCTCCTTATGTTTAAACTGTGTTTGGTAATCCCATCTGAAATATCCGTGTTTTATTAGCTCAATTTAAATGGATTTCATTCTATTAGTAGCAGAACCTGCATTGTGTTTACATCCACTAAATGTAGATTAGTGTCTGGTTTGTGACTGGAGGTAAATACGTTGTTTCCTGGCTTTAACAGAGCAGATGTTTCGGTCTGTAATTACATTCAGTGTGTTTTAAGGTTCTGTGCTGGGTGAGCTGGATGTTTTAGTACAGGAAGAGTACTCTAGGTGGGTTTTCGTTTCTCAGTCCTAAAATGTGTGTATGTGTGAGAGTGGGTGTTTTGGGAGCTCGTAAATATTTCATGGAGCCAAAGCCACTGTAAATTCTGGCCAACAAAAAAGGAGGCGGGCGGGTGGCTGGGAGGATGGTGGGGGTTCAGAGCAGCTGCTCACATGGTTCTTTGCTCAGGGAAAGTCTTGGGCCACACTCACGCTTATACACGCATTTCTGTCTTTTTTCACAAAGCAGATTTTGCCTATGAGAGCACACGCAGGAACACATAACACAACCTGGAGCTGGACAGAAAACAGTCACACGTTGTCACAGCGTAATGGAAACACCGATGGTACAGATAAACATCTGGTTAACAGTGAAATGTTCTGATCATTTATACACGCGTCTGTCTTACAGCAGTGCAAGACGGGTTAAAAAAAAAACAAAACGGCCTGACGCAGTTACTGCAGAAATCCTAGAGTCCCGGTTTTCTATAACCCAGCAGTAGGTAGTTTAACAAGATCTCACTGTTTTTAACATCAGCACAGTCCAACCTAAAGTACACAAACAGTCTGGACACGTTCAGATGTGATCCCGGCCAAGTCGTGAAACATTATGTAAACATAATTTATGTAAACATAATTTGAACATTTGCATTTGAGGATTTCTCACTTCCTCAGCAGCTCTAATGTGAATAATATTGTTTTTCTCTTTTCTAAGACTGACATCGAGTGGCACCTCCAAATTCTTGCATGCCTCTTCTAACACCCTACTTTTAGTCAATCCATACATTATTTCAGCCATTTCTCCCACATTGTGTGTCCCTCCACACAACCAGCCATCTGTTCTTCCGTCCCTCCATCTTTGCTCAACCTCTACCCCCTTGCAAGTTTACCCCCTTTCCTTCTCTATGGTTTCCACATGGCTGAGGTGTGTTGGCTTTAAACCGTGTGCACATGTGAGTTTGTTTGACCTGGAAATCGCTTAAATGGTGTGAAAGAACTCCAACAGAGCTTTGCTTGGTACATCACAGCACCACCTGTCAGAACCTCCTGAAAACGGGACTTTTTATACAGACGTATACATTTCATATGTTATTGATTCAATAATCAAGAAGGGTTAGGGTTAGACTATTCTTTGATGTGTTTACTGTAACTGGCCTGGTTTTGATCATTTGCCAAGTTGCTGTTATTATAAAACATGACATCAGATTTCTGAAATGCAAAATATCTGTTCTGCAATTTATGTTTAAGACATCAATCCAGAAGTTTGTAATTTTACTGGAAAATAAAGCAGAAAATCTCCAACCAAAACAAACCTGGCTTTTTGCAGATTGTTGCATCTTCATGTTTAATAATAACAGTTAATGCGGTGATACTTTTTCAGCACAATAATATAATGTGGCATTTTGAAAAAGTGTGATTGAAGCTAGATGCGGCAGTCCGATTATCTTTTTTCCCTTTCCATGTGCTCTGCATGTTTTACAATAAACTCTTGGCAGGTCGACAGAATAATTAAAAATGTTTTTGTTTGTGACTGAAAAATGCAATCCTCCGATTTATTTATCTCTGGAAAGTAGAAAAAGAAATTAAAACAAAGACTTTGATCATCACATTAGATGCATTAATGTGAGATTAAGGTGGTTTTAGAGAAATCGTATTATATTTTAGAGATAAAAATGCACAAATCTGAGTAGAAATTTCCAGCTTTATTTTTCTTTTATTCAATTGAATTTTGACTATTTGCCTCAGCTTATTACATGTGTATGTTTATGTATTTAGCAGAAGCTTTTGTCCAAAGCAACTTACAGGTGATAATCAAGCCAGCAGGTTGCCCTTGAGGCTAACAACAAACACTATTCAGTCAATCCTAGGTGGCAGTGGGGCAGCATAATCGATCATAGAGGGAAGCGAACAGGGAGTGTGCAGTAGAGTGGGGGACGGGTGCTGGGAGGGTGGTAGTTTAGAAGATGCTCTCTGAAGAACTGGGTCTTCAGAAGTTTCTTGACAATCGACAAGGAAGCCCCTGTTCTAGTAGTGCTTGGTAGGTCATTCCACATCTGTGGAACGGCACGTGTATGGGAACTAGAGAAAACACGTAGGCCTTAAATCAAACAAGCACAGCCTTGAGCTGAGAACTCTTAAACCACTATGGTCAAGGGTTTAATGGAGGAGGCAGTTTAGTTTGTTCATTAGAACTCCAACCAATTGATTGTAATACCAGGCAAATCAATAAAGTCGTTACGGTGTTTTTTTTTTTTTGTTTCAGCCAATATTTAAAGGGATACTATGCAACGTTTTCAAATTTTTAAATAATTTTCTTGAGCCGGTATGTACTAAAATGACCTTTTATAAGAATAATTAAATGTCACTCAGATCCCTACTGCCCTCTGTGGCCAGAATACTGCATTTGCATTTTCAGAGTGCCGGTCCGGTCTGGCACTGCAGTCTACTTCCAGCACATTTCCTGCATGTTTTGGACAAGGGGCCATTATGATCTGAATTTTGTGAAGCAAACAAGGAAGTGAGAAAAATTGCAGTTCTCCCCTCATCCGCTAGAGGTTGGCACCAGAAGTGAGCAAGTCCTCATCAACTCTCATGTTAAAAATGCCAATTTCACAGCAGAAATAAACCTGTTTATAGCCTGGTTAAAATATGTCTATGGTTTTAGCTATGGGTCAGAATTGATAAGTTTTTATCAATCTTAATGACATTGTCGATTCTGTCTATCGATCCAATTCCTTATCAATTCCAGAGTAGTTAAAAAGGTGGCAAAAAAACAATTGTGCATGGCTCCTGCATTAAAACTGTCAGTTTATTTACTTATTTACGACAAATAATCAATTGTATCTGTATGGGTTGGAAAAATATTTCCAAATGTTCTCCTTTATGCTCCCTGTGAAGGCAGTTATCTTCTTGTTTGGTGTAGCTTTTGTAGAATGGGATAAATCTCATCACAGGTCAGACGTTTGTCGCTGGAGTCTGCTAGTGTGGAGGTGTATATTTGAGGTAGATGACGCTTACATGATAGTTGGTTAGTTACCTGCATTATTAAAAGGAGAGAACATGCGTACGTCACGCTGCTGCTGTGTTAAAATTCACTAATCCAGAGCGAGTCAAAACACATCAATAACTTTTAAGTTATCTCATATTTTGTGCCAAAAGCTTTTGTATATCTGTAGTATTTCCTCTACTTTGCATTTATTTCAAGTTACCCTGTTGCTCTGCTTTCTTGTGAAATATTACCAAACTTTTGAGCGTTTGTATCACTTAGACGCCATGTTTACTGCTTCCATAAGCTACGCAGCGTGCGCGGTGATGTCGTTTGCGTCGACTGGAATTGATGAGGGGAATCGTTTGCAAAAGTGGCGAATGATTCCTAAGAATTGAAATAATGGGAACCGCTTCTCAACCAGAACCAGTTTTCGATTCCCAACCCTAGTTTTAGATCATGAACACAACTGCTTTGTTTAATTTAGCCCCGAACCACTCCTGGAGAAACTAATGACGGCTGAGGAGACATTTCAGCTGTTAGAACAGGGATTCCCAAAGTGTGGTGCGCGCGAGCTGCCGCTAGGGGGTGCGCGAGGTGAAAAGTGTAATGGCTGCAGAGCTCAGAGAAGTCTGTCAAAAGTCACCATTAACGTAGCCAAAAACTCATTTGTGGGTGGATCCAATAAATGTAATTGAAAACAAGTATATTTTGCTTGTGTGTGTGTGTGTGTGTGTGTGTGTGTGTGTGTGTGTGTGTGTGTGTGTGTGTGTGTGTGTGTGTGTGTCCTCCGCACATGCCCTAGCTCAGGGGTCGGCAATCCGCGGCTCTGGAGCCGCATGCGTCTCCTCCATCCATCTGATGTGGCTCTCTGTGCTTGTAAAATAATGAATGGATATTTAAATAAAATGCTTTATATTTTACTCATAAATTTTACATCTGTAAGCCAATTCTAAATGTAAAGATTGTCTGCGTAAACCTGAACAGGGCCAACCCGGTCTTACTGTGAGACCAGGTTGACGCGTCACGCTTGTGCGTAATCATAGGCGCTTTCTGAGCTGAAGACGATGTGAGATTCTGGGATTCTCCTCAGACGTCACATTGGAGACAGGAACAAGCACAATTCAGCCAAAGTTTCATCATCAGGGAACATTTTCTAAGTGACAAGTCTCTCTGAGAGACGGGGTTTGGAAAACTCTCGCTTCAGTGGAAGGAATCTTCCCGCATGCGCTCTGGTTCTGCTACGCACTCCAAGCCCCTCTCCACATCATCAGCTCGCTGTGCACCTTAAGTACGCGCTGACAGCGAGCTGCGCTGAGCGGTTTCCAGCTCAGATGTTCAGAAGGAAATCTTTTCTTGAGTGATTTAGCTACATCTGCGATTTGCGAAACGAATAAAATGTCAGTTCGTCTGCATGCGTCGGGGTAATTCTTTCTATTCTTTCGCCGTCAAAATAAACGGCCAAATACGGGAACTGTCCAGTCAACACAAGCCCTGCTTTTAACTGTTCTGTTTTCTTGTGAAAATTGTTACAAATTTAACTTGATTACCACCAGAGCCAGGCGCACTGCACCGTTATCTCCATCACTGTAAATGAGGGGGGAAAAAATTGATCGGATCCTTTTCTGACCTTCCCCACCTACAAAGTTTAATTACAACAATAAAACGTGACAGAGCCTGGATTTGTATTCTAAACAGTCTAAACATGTTTTAAAAAGAAACGTATGACAAAAGTGGCACCTGCTCAGTAAAACCACCAACAGGGTGAAAAATATCAAAATATTGTAGGCAGAGACGGGCTACAACTTCTGGATCCACTTTAAATAAATCATTTTATTGATTATCTTCTTATGAAAGACAGCTTTGACGTACCCGAGCGACCGGTACCGGCTGCTGTCACCTGTTGTGAGCAGCGCTCTGCTGTCTGAGGGTAGGCCCCGCCCACAACGCTGCGGCTGCTGTGGTGTTTTCTTTACTGTGGGAAACGGGTAATAATGGCTCTCTGATGGGAACAGGTTGCCGACCCCTGGTTTAGCGTAACGTCTGATTGATATATATATATATATGTGTGTATATATATATATGTATATATATATATATATATATATAGCCATGCCCTGATGTGGGGCTGGGGGGTGCGTCAACATGGTCGGAACATAGAAGGGGGTGCGCGGCTAAATAAGTTTGGGAACCACTGTGTTAGAACAAACGTACAGCGAGGAATAAAATTTTGCTTTTGGTTCTACTGAACAGACACAAGGGGGTGCTAAAAGCAAGTCAAAGCTGCCTAGTCTCCTTTAATATATTTAAACTCATAAAAAGATTAATTTATCACATAAAACATATCTTGCACGGCAGAAAATGTGTTTTAAAAATGTGTACTTTTAAATTATAATTTTTTTTTTGTCATAACATATATTTTTAAGAAACGTCCTGTAGTTTTTTTCCTGCCTTTTTCTTCACCTTTTTGCACCTTGAGCTCTCACACACCTGGCTCTAACAGCACGGTTCTACTTTCTGCCTGCAGGTGCTGAACTGTGATGTCACATGCTGAGTGTTCTCATGAATTTTAATTTACACTAATTCAACACTCACAGAGTCCTACACCTGGGAAATATTGTTAGAATAAGTAGATTTGACAAACACCTGCAGAGCATGTCTGTGCATGCATAGCCAGCTCTGTGTGCACATTCTGATGAGTAAAGAGAAGTAAATGATTGTTTTCATTTCATTCATTTTAAAGGTAGACTGATGTATTGGTCAGCCAATATATCAGGCCTAAAGTTACCATTTTTATATATCTTAGGGCTGCCACAAATGACTATTTTTGTTCACGATTAGCCGACTAATCTTGCCATGCGTAAAAGTATAGCTTATTGCACCAGGCTGCTCTAATATGCTCATCATTAGCTTCTAGTTTGAAGTGTGATCAGTTGTGTTCCATCTAATAAAGACAAGATAATAGCTTATTAAACAACTTTTAATTAACTTTGTAACCTGTTAATACAAATGCCTATAACCCAAAATAAATTGTACACAAAAATGACTTGCGCTCACTAACGTACTCAGATAAAATAGTCATTTTTGGCTTTGTAACAAACTCGTCTATTGAAGAGGAGAAGTGCATTGTTTAATACTGTAATGTAGCTGGATAAAATAAATCATTAGTGTTTGTCAGTCAGTGACTTGATGCAACCAGTTGGGTTCCTTACGTAGGAAACTTTCTTATTGGCTTAATGAACTGACCTGTATTGGAATGGTTACTTTGTGAAGTGCCTTGAGACGACTCTTGTCACGATTTCGCGCTGTATAAATAAACTTGAATTGAATTGGATTGTAACATTAGGGCGAATACGTCACATACATACATGTATAAAGGTAATAAAATCACCATCAATTCTGTTGTTGCTTCACCTAAATAACTCTCTGTTGATGTTAGCAGCTAACAAGAGGTAATTAGCTCACAGAGGCGACTTTGTTCTCCACCATGACATGCTTCCTTTTAAGGTGCTCGTGCATCACAGATGTAATCCCGTGAAAGGAGAGTTTCACTTTGTAGATTTTGCACTGTAGGTGCATCTCTTTTGCCTTTGTAAAATGCTCCCAAACAAATGAAGTTTGTGGTGGTTTTTGAATTGAAAAAATTCAGTTTTATCCCTCTGGGTTTTTCATCTCATGGGAGGCAGTGAAAGCTGCACCAACGCTAGCAGCCCCACTCTCTCTTACTCCATGGTGCATGTTATAAACATTGCAATTAGCCATACATTTTATTTTCTCTGGTTGTTTGTACCACTGCAAACAGTGCAACACCTTCCCAAACCACGCGAGTACATTTTTTGGGAGGTAAGTAATGTTTTAAGTCCTCTTAAATTATTCTAATAAACCGCTACTAGGACTGAAACCTCACCCTGTAAACCAATGGGTATGCGCTAGCTTCAGTATTTCACCGGATGTTGCTAACGTCATCATTTCTCCATTTAAAAAAATGGTGGATATACCAGTTTTTAATATTTAATACTTTGTCAGTTAATTGACTTGTTTTAACTTTAGTGTACAAAATTGATACTTAACAGTTGGGTTAAATTCAGTGTTCAAAAACTGATTCTGCTTCACAAAACGTTTGCATCAATTATGTTATTAGTGATATTTTAGCATGCAGAATAGGTGGAAAATGTCTAGATATCGGCCATGAAAATCAGCTGAAAAATTGGCAGCACATATTCAGCCATTGGCTCACCATAAATTCTGTGTATCAGCATCTGTATCAGCAATAGAAAAAACAATATTGGTCAACCTTTAATTCATTTTATTAAAATATCACATGTTATATTTACTAACTTTCATATTTTTTAGTAAATCTGAGTAGTGTTCTATTTCCTAAATGCATTATTTTGTTTATTTAGCAATCCTTACATCCATGTTTTGTCAGTTCTCATTCGTTCACATAATCAGAATTTTATTAAATATATTTTTTAATTGCCTTACTTTTATGAAACCACATATTCACAAAGAACTGAAGTCTTTTTGGAAAAGTTATTGCTAGTACAACTTTTATTTATTTTTGCACACCAACCACACCGCCTCCAGGGGAATTGTTTCACTCACCTTTTAGCCTCTGCTTCATTTCATACGGAATAATAAATCAGATGCGAACAAAACTGTTAACATGGAACATTGTGTCTGTTTCTGATCCTGCCAAAGCCACATTGTTTTTGTGTGATAATGAGACTCAGGCTTTGCTTTTATGGAAGTGTAAGCTAGTGTTGGCAGTATTGGAGGCATGTGTGAATGAATTTTAATAATGATATGATCCATGTACCAAGGTTTTATGAAGACGGCAGAAGAGTTGGAAAGAAAGTCCGAGATTATAAATGGGCGAGGGAGGATTTGTTTATTGAAACCTGAGGATGACATGGTTTTCTTTGGTTCTCGCTTCATAAATGTCACGTTCAGCCTTGCGCCACACTGTCTCCTTATGGGAACGACTGTGTGAATGAGTGAATGCATGAGGGGGTCTGTGTGCATGTGGCACCCAACATAAAGCTGTCTCCCTACAGCAACGCTGATAGCTGACAAAGGATAATAGACAAAAATCACTGTTTTTTGATCTTTATGTTATATTTATTTCTGATTTTATTTTTTTCATTTACGTCATCTTAATAACGCCGTTATGAAAGGATGACTATATCTCATATATTTTTGTCTCGATTCTTAATTTTCTCCATGCATTTATACAAGTTTTTTCTTTATTTTTTGCAGACATCCCAGGATGCACATCAAAACTGGTCTAGTGGACGCCCACCTTTACTGTCTGAAAAAAGCAGTCGTTGACTTCCTTACAGAAAACAAGTGAGTAAACCTATAAATAGCAACTTAGCTTTTCTAATTTCAATTGTACGACTAAATTATTGAAATTATTCTAACACGACACACCAGTTTGGGTTTATGTGAGGAACATGCTCCTCATTGCCTGTGAATACAAGGTGCATGCATTCACCCCTGTAGTCACATCAGCTTGAACCCTCAATTACTGCTTAATCTGTAGCAAGTGTTAAGAATGGTTACATGGCGTGTAAGGCTTTGAAGGGCTCTGCTAGCAGGGTATTCTAGCAAGGTGTTAATTTGTTTTACTATGTGCCGCTGAGACGGGCTGTTAGGCCTTTAGCCTCTGGACTAAAGCCGTGTGACAGAGAGACTTCTGTGGTCGCCTGGTGTTTATATTCCTCCTATAGAGGATCTGTGTGATATCTGAATCTTGTTCTTTGGTGGAAAGTAGTTTTAAAGTCTCAACTTTTGAACATGAAAGGTAAAAGGTGGCCTGAAAACTTGTGGAGAATAATAAAAAACAAGTTTCTGTTCACGTGAACAGGTTTTTGAGCTTCTGGTTTATCTGCTACTTTTTCAATCAATACAACTTCATCAAATCAAAGTTTAAATAAAGCTAAATGCTTTTTAGTTCAAATAAAATCCTCATAGTCACGCTTAACATATCAGTCCGCTTCCTCACTTTTCTGTTCTTAGTTCTGCAAAAACAAAGAAATCTGGGTTAACGCTTGAATATTTTAGTAATTACAGAAGTACACTGCCTGGCCAAAAAAAGTCAGCTTCTGAATTTAACTAAGCAAATAGGTACGAGCATCCTAATTGATAAGAGACAATGTGTCATTTTTAACGTTAATTTCTGGAAATATCCATTGAAATGTTGTTGAAAATTAATTAAATGATGCCCAGTTGTTGAAAATTATTGATGGCTTCCTTCATTACATAAAATCATGAAATCAGGGTCTAAAATACATGGAAGCGGGTCTAAAGCCTAATTCTGCTTCTGCGTTAGGACAGAGACATGCAACGCCATTGTTCGTCCTTGCGAGCCTGCTGGAGAGCCCTCGCAAGGATGTACGGAGTTAAGCTTGTGATTGGTCAGGACGTTGCTTTCGTCAACAGCACTGCTATTGCACTCTCAAAAACTAAGGAAGCTGAAGATATCTAGAGACGGACACGGAGCAGATACCTTGCGGGAAAACTCTTACAAATATGAAACTTTTATTCACCTGAGACTGGATGAGTAAAAAGAAATGCAGCAAGCGGTTAATTTGAGGATAAGAAACGAGGGTTTAGAGGTGGTGAGCGCATGAAGAGGTGGAGGAGAATGAGGGACAGATTTGTTTGTGTTAAAAAGTAACTGAAATACAAAAACTACAATATAAACACAATAGTAAATGCACTATCTTGGACCAGATACATGACAAGATACCCCAGAACAGCGCTATGCCCTCTGTTGTCCTGGCGGTGGAGCTGACGCAGAAACATAAACTAGGCTTAAGTCTCTGCTTGGGCGACACCACTAGATGCCATATTTCTATCTACGTGAGCCTCTGAGGACAAAATTCATTTACTGATTCGTATCAAGCGGTTACAAAACTTGTCACCATTAATAAACTTTGTTGTTTTACACTTTTACCTTTTCACAAGTTGCCAGTGATGAAAGGGAGTCCGATGTTCCTGTCATTTTGCTAGAGGTTGAACGATCTGACGAAGTACTTATTCTAAAGTTGCACTTTCAGGGAGTTTTGACCCTAATAGCCATGCATTTAAACGTTAAACAACCATGTGGAAAGACCCATCTTGTGGTTGTGGAAACGTTGTTGACGTTGATGCACCCATCATGCCAAGTGCCTACTGTGCAAGCCTGTGGGGGCAGTGCCATGATCTCTGATTTCTGCCAATGGTCAGCTCTAGGTTCATCAACAGGATGTGCCCCAAGAATGAGGTCAGCTGACTACCTGAATATACTGAATGACCAGGTTCTTCCCTGATGGCACGGGCATATTCCAAGATGGCAATGCCAGGATTCATCGGACTCAAATAGTGAAAGAGGGTTTCGAGGAGCATGAGACATAATTTCAACACATAGATTGGCCACCACAGATTCCAGACCTTAACCCCATTGAGAATATTTGGGATGTGCTGGAGAAGGCTTTGTGCAGCGGTCAGACTCCACCATCGTTAATGCAAGATCTTGGTGACACATTAATGCAACACTGGATGGAAATACATCTTGTGACATTGCAGAAGCTTATCGAGACAATGCCACAGCGAATGTATGCTGTAATCAAAGCTAAAGATGGTACAACAAAATATTAGAGTGAACGACCTTTTTTTTTTAATGGTGACTTTTTTTGGGAGGCCAGGCAGTGTATTTAGTGTTCTTAATTATGTTGCAGCAAAAATAGTCCAAAGTTGCACACTTAAGTGTAAACAGCTTCTGATGATTTATTTTCTAAAAACTTTGCAGAAGTCGTAGGACATGGAAAGGTCTTTTTACAAGAATTTTGTATGATTAATTAGTCTTTTTTATATCATTTGAATGAAGACATCCATACCAACTTGCTTTCATCCCTCACAATAAATTCAAAGCAAGCCAGCTACATAAAAAAAATCCCCTCTCTTCACCCTCTGAGTATTTTTGGTTAAAGAGATGTAAATATAAGTCTTGCATCAATCATTGCATCACTAATGGACCCTCAGCCGCCACCGTATATCGTCTCTCTTGTTAGATGACTCATTCCTTTTTTTTTCCCCTTTCCAGCTCCTTTCTCGGACTTTTCTTTTCAGCGCGCCTCTCAGGCTCTCCTCCTTCCTCCTCCTCCCCGTTCTTTCTCTGCCCCTCGCTCAATGACAGAAATAGACAGAGTAACTGTTGTTTTTCTCCTGTCATTCAGATGGAAATTCTAATCTCCCTTTAAATGAAAGTAAGAGGAGGAAAGTGGAGGGGGTCTGGGGATGTGGTGTAGTGAAGAGGAACACCGAGCAAAGTGTAGCGCGGAGGGAAAAGAGGATGTCACGTCCTGATGAAATGGAAGAAATGTAGAGAAGTTTCTTTTTTATCTGAATTTGGTGCAAAAGTCAACGTGTTCATTGTTTTACACTAAATCATGCTACAAGTAACACAACTTTAGACTCTAAAAGTCACAATGACATAAACAGTCACAACCCCGAAGAAATTGTATGACTTTACCATTATTCTCTAAGATTTTGTCAGTCTAAATAAATGTCAAAAACATGTTTTAACTCCCCTCTTTTTGTTTCTAAGGTCTATTTCATCAATCCGTGGTGAACTGGTGCCACTTTTGGTACGCAAGCAGTTTTCTAAAACTCTCAGCAAACAGAAGATGAAGGATGACTCTGAGGATCAGACCCAAAAAAAGAATGATGGCTCTACAGACCATGGTTATTGTTTACACTAAACTAAGCATTTAAGCAAGTTATAATATCTCTTTATTAGAAATTGATGTTGATTTTCACAACATGTGAACATAAAAAGATACAATTTCATGTTTAGTAACATTTCTAATTTCTGTGTTTTCAACTGCTCTCCTTAGAGCTCCTCATCTCTTCACGGGACGAGTCTCTTCTCCAGCTAGCCCAGGAGCGTTCCTGTTGGAACGACCACCACGGTGACATGAGTGAGGCTTATCATGGGGGGAAGCTGCGCTGCTATGTCCACATTATGGACCAGGGCCTGTGCTACCGTGTTAACACCCTCGCTGCTTACATCGAGGCAAATCGACTGGTGAGTCAGCTGCTCAGTTTAAGATGTTCTTGCATGTCTTTATTTTTCAGTTTTACTGTTTGTAGGTCATCAAAATCTTCATGTTTGCATCATGCAGGTTATATATATATATATATATATATATATATATATATATATATATATATATATATATATATATATTAGGGCTGCAACAACGAATCGATAAATTCGATGAAAATCGATTACTAAAAGCGTTGGCAACGAATTGCGTCATCGATTCGTTGTGTCGCACAACTCTTCCAAAAGCGCCCCCCCCCCCCCCCCCTTCCTGCCCGCCGTTGCGCGCAGACCAGAGCAAGTCAGATCAGCGCGAGGGAGAGCCGGTACCGGCAGATCAGCGTGAGGGAGAGCCGCAGATCAGCGTGAGGGAGAGCCGGTACCGGCAGATCAGCGCGAGGGAGAGCCGGCAGACTTGCGCTGCTGCGAACCGGTTCCGCATTGTCGCGCAGCGATCCAGGCAGCTGCTTCCAGCGCACGGTCCATTCTCAAAGTGGCGCAACCAAAAAACTATAATTAGCACACGATCGTTCATGTCCGCACATATTCTCTATTTTCTGTCTTATTTGTGCCTGAAGCTCGCTACTGCGGAGCTCATCACCTCTGCTGTGGTGATGTCACCTCACGCAGCATCGAAAACGCGCTCTGCGCTTTTCGGTCAGGAGATCCCTTTGATCTGCTCAAAAGTAACTGATGAGGTGAAAAGGTAAGAATCCAGGCAACAGATTTTCTGGAGAATTATGAGGAGATGCAGGAAGATGAGAGACAGACAGGACAGGAAAATAGTTAAATAAAAACAAGAAAACAAAACAAAGTGTTGAAAAGTCAAATGTAGGTAGATTTATCTCCACTACACGTTTTTACCAGTAAAAAACAATAAGTTATACACATGTCATATTTATACATCTGATACAATTCAGATCACCTTCAAAACTCAGTCACACACCCAGGGCCGTTTCAAGACATTTTGGGGGCCAAGGCAAAATGCCCCCCCCCCCCATAACTGGGCTCCCCAGAAGCCTCTGTGTAATTCATGCCCTCTCCAGGAGTATTAGTTATACGGTGTTTATAAAAGCCCCTCAGACATTACTGACATGTTCTAATATTATCAGATGAAAAACTAAATTATCAGACATGCTGTCTCATCTGCTGCTTTTCTAAACCTGCTAAAAGTAACAAAACCATTTGAAAGCCACTATTGGTGGATTCTCTGAAAGTTTCCATGGAGTGTGTGACAACTTATTTTTTCATTGATCCTATCGTCTAATCTCACAGCTGAAACAAGCATCCTTAATCATCTGTGCACAGGAAGCTTACCGATGCTGTAGTAAAACAAAAGGTATAATAATTTATTATTAATAAAACCTTGTTGCAGCACTAAAGCAGAAAAATTAGATTTTGCATTAAATATGCAAAATATTTACATATGAATTGTTTTAGAGCCCTTTAATTGGCAGAATCTGATATTAATTTAGTTCTTACAAAAAATGGGTCCCAACATGGTTTGTGTGGCGTTGCCATAGTGTGACGTCATAGGCACAGATCCCCTGTCCTCTTGTTTGGAAATGGAAATATGGTCACCCTACATTAAACAAACTGTCCACCCGGGCTTTTGCGCTGCACAGAGACGCTTCGCTGCCTACGACTGAATGTCAGTTGAGAGTCAGTCTCATGCAGACTGACCAATGAAGAGAGGGCCTCAAGTTAAGACCCTCTCCTCATTGGTCAGTCCACACGAGGTGGGTCAAAGGTTACTCTGGGCGGGTTACGTGTTGTCAGGCATTCAAGTATTGAGTATATTTACTGCATATCACAGTAAAATATTCTGTATGTGACCACATTATGGTGATCCTTGGGTCGTGATGATGGAGCCCTTGAATATTGTTGCCCAGGGTACAACAAAGTGTTAATCTGGCCCTGGTTCCGCCGTCACATTCCCACAGAAACTGGTTGATCACACCGGGGCCAGACTACTAGCATGTGGTTTTACAACCACAATGTCCTCAGAAGCAAAAACGCTTTTAAAAGGGAGGGAGGAGTCCTAACTGTTGCTGCAGGCGTGTTGTGTGAGAGTGCAGTTATATACTGGTTAATATATTTTTGGGTTCAGTTGCTTTCATGTGGCCTAATGTGAGTCTATTTGGGATCATTGGAATGATCAGCAGCATTTCTTGATGTGACTTTATGGCAGTTGCCCAGGGCATCATCGCAAGGAGGATGGCATTCATTTACTTTTGTTTTATTTGGTATTTTTTCAGTCAGTTTTGGAAATAGTGATCAATTTTGATTAATTCACAGCCTATGTTTAATTACATTTAAAATAAATGTTAACAGATGAGATCAAACAAAACAGATGAGAATTGCCCTTAAGCTGTTTAACTTGGACCAAGCATTTTAGGTCACAGATAGATGTAGCTTAGGGTCTCTGTCTATACACCTTATAAGACAATTTAGGTGATGGCATGTTGTTTTTCTGCTATTGAACTGTTTTCTAATAATGTTGTGTTAAATAAAGTGAAGGAAGGAGAGAAATAACGTTTCCCTAGCAGTTTTTAAAAATTTCCCCATGTAATCCGATTAATCGATTAATCGTGTCGAGACCCCATCCGATTAATCGATTATCCAAATAATCGTTTGTTGCAGCCCTAATATATATATATATATATATATATATATATATATATATATATATATATATATATATATATATATATATATATATATATAAGAACCTTTTGGTGTGCAACCAGCCATACACCAGTGCCAAACAAACACAGAGCTACTGAAGTGAAACACAACATTCACGTTTCTTTCAGGCCTAGTCCACAAGTAGCCGGGTTTTTTAAAAATGAATATCCACCCCTCCAAAAACTTGCATCCACACCACCTCGTTTAAAAAAAAACTGTCCACACGTACCCGGATAAATACGTCGTTAAGGACATGCCAGACCTGTAGGCGGCAGTACTTCCCCCGTTCTTAACCTCGTCCTTCGTCTGTTGTCTTCCGCAAGGAGCAGTAATTCTGCTTGCAAAAACAAACAAGCAAAAAGCGCATGGACAACTGATAAAGCGAGCGCAGCTCTGAGGGCATCCATGCTGTCGGCTAGTGTAAACACAGGTCGCACACGTGATGTCAGCATTTTCTTGTCGCGGAAAGTGACGTTGCGGACCTTAAAACTCCGGTTTTGTCTGTCCACACGCAGACACCCAAAATGGAGAAAACACAGATCTTCACTTTGGCCGGAGTTTTTAAAAAGATCCGTTTTAAGTGGATGACAGGCCAAAACGTAGAAAATAGCTACGTTTTGGCAGATCCCCGGCTACGTGTGGACAGGGCCTCAGTTAGGATATGAGAGATTTCTAAGAAAGTGAAATCATAACAAACTTATTCAGTTTAATTATTGTTTGTGCTTTGATTTTTCTTCACTTGTTGACTATATATATATATATATATATATATATATATTTATTTATTTATTTTTGTATTTTCATTACTAGGCCCCGAAACTGTTTGAGGAGCCAGCAGTTCACCCATCAGCTTACATTTCTGAAAAATGCCAGGCAAGTTTTTTTTTTCTGCAAATCAGATTCTTACCATTTTTATGAATTTGAAATAAAATAAAGATGTAAAATAAAAATAAAAAATACACTCTCCAACAATCACTTTATTGTGTGGTAAGTGTGGCAAGTGTGTGTTTCATGCCATACTCTGTGTTGCTGTTTGAGTTGTGTTCACAGATGGGATCAGACAGTATCATCGGAGCTCAGTGCCAGATCGCAGATAAGACTTCCATAAAAAGATCCACTATCGGAAACTCCACCACCGTGAAAGAGAAGGTCAAAGTCACCAACTCTATCATCATGCACGGGGTTACCGTCGAGGAGGGGTGAGAACACACATCTGTAAACACACATGCACACACTTGTTGAGAACATTCAACTCTTACAAAACAAAGCATTCTTAGTCATTTTTATAAATAAGTTATTCTGTTCTTTGTTTTTTTCTTTCATGCTGCACACAAGGCACTAAAGCTTTATTTCAAAAATAAATAATAAATACATTTTATTTTATTTAAGATATAATGAAGACTTTAAATTCTGGATGTTGGATCCTAACTATCACCAAAACTAGCCACTTTGTTTCTTGAGCACTGACTGCACAAACCTTCACAGAATGTTCCTGGTGCTGTGATGCAAATATATAAAGTGTGTGTGTGTGTGTGTGTGTGTGTGTGTGTGTGTGTGTGTGTGTGTGTGTGTGTGTGTGTGTGTGTGTGTGTGTGTGTGCGTGCACGCTCGCTCGCGCGCGTGTGTGTGTGTGTGTGTGTTTTTTCGGTGCTCTCTGACAAAGAACCTTTTGGTGTGCAACCAGCCATACACCAGCGCCAAACAAACACAGAGCTACTGAAGTGAAACACAACATTCCCGTTTCTTTCAGTTAGGATATGAGAGATTTCTAAGAAAGTGAAATCATAACAAACTTATTCAGTTTAATTATTGTTTGTGCTTTGATTTTTCTTCACTTGTTAGGTTTAAAGAAGTTTGGCTATGTGATTTCACATGTTTTGGCAAAGCAATTTATTGTTTTAGCTTTGGTTGTTTTTATGTCTTTGTAGTTGTCTGGATAGCGAGGATGATGTTTTGCACTGCTGTTATTTTATAATGCCGTTTATGAAACGATTTTTAATCTTTTATGTTCTATGTTCTCGCTGAACTTCTAGAGTGTCTATCAGCTATCCCCAGGTGACTAGATGTTAACTTCCTTCAGTTAAACTTAGGGCTGCCCAATATATCGCAAATAAATCGTTATCGCGATATCAGCATGCGCAATATGCAAATCGCAAAGAACAGATAAATATTGCAATGAATGTTCAGCTCAAATGTTTGCTACACATAATGCATTCTGTCAATCAAACGGAAGGATGATGGGTTTTTAACCAATCAAATAGAACTCTTCGCCCATTTGGCCAATTGGGTGGGTTCTCATAGGTTAGATGCCCGCCCCCGAGGCGGACGGCACTTAATTTTGATGGTTATCAAACACCTGAGTTAGCTTTGTGCTGCTCTTTCTGGTGATTCTGCTTTTCCTGGGATCCATTGATTTCCTTTTCTTGTTCATTTTCTTTTTCCCTTTCTTCACATCTTTTGCTTTTCTCATTTTTATGATTTTTTAGTCATTTTTTTTCTTTGTTTTTGATTATTTTTGTTCCTGAGTTAAGTTTTTATTTATCGCAAGTAATATCGTCATTGCAATATTAATCATTGCTATCTCATATCTCCGGTTTTCCTAATATCGTGCAGCCCTAGTTAAACTCTGAAAAGACTGAATGTCTGATCACTGCCCCTGAGAGCATGGTTCCCCTGATTAGTCAACAACTTGGTCATTTATCTTCTGCCGTCAAATCAAACTTGAGGAATTTGGGTGTCGTTTTTGACCAATAAATGTCTCTGGAAGGCCACTTAAAAACATTGATCCGAATCAGTTTTTGTCACTTTAGAAATATCTCCAAACAGGGAAGGTTGGTGTCAAAACATGATTAGCCATGCCTTTTTCTCCTCCCGTCTAGATTTATGTAACACTTTCAAAAGCAGCTGAAGAAGCATGCCATGCCATACTCTTGAAGGTGTATTTGGAACAATAGACTTTTATTTTCAAGAAAAGTCCAGTTGTTATAAATACACCGTCGAGATTACCATCCCCTGGCGGCCTCTTTGTGGCCCCCAAATCCTGTGTGCATGTGATCTGCAAATTCTGATCAACGCCTTTCAGAGTGGATCAAACCATCTGGCCGTCGCTGCTACTGTGGAGCCTGTAGAGACCCCGAACGGAGCGCTGTGTCGCCCCTCCCTCTCTTCTCTCACTCTGCGCAGGCACGCAGTGGCAAAAATGTAAACAAACATGTCTGCTGAACTTTTCCCCTGAGACAATTGTTGTCAAGTTTTCATCCTACAATGAAAAATACGCCACGGAAGAAGCTTGTTATTTAATACGAGTTTTAAAAAGAAACTCTTGGCGGTGTAAGGGGAGTTTTTAAAGCTCACTGCAGAAATTGAAACACGGAGCATCAACAGTCAAACACAACACTTGTCTGTATGAGCGTGACACTCATAGCTGCAAAAATAACCTGTGAAATAATTAAAGACATCATGCTAGATCAGCAGCCTGTGATGACGCCTATAGGAGCCGCTTTGGATATTAAATATAATAATATACCGAAAATTAATCGAACCGAGCTCTTCAAAATTCTGAACCGAACCAAATACGATTTTGGCGTACTGTTACACCCCTAGGATATGATATGGTATGGTGTATGGTATATTATGGTATTGAATATGGTGTATGGTATGGTAAGGCATGGTATTGTAGCTTCAAAAGCAATTTTTATAACTTGAATTTTTTTGATTCATAAAGAAAAATAATAATTTGAAAACATTGTTAACCTGTTAACTTCTACTAAATCTTTCTAAAACTAATTCTAGCTCGTTTTCATTTATTTGTTCATTTCCAGGATTAAACTAAATTAGCCTCCAATGTAGCTGAAGAGAAAAAAGAATATTTCTATTTTCATTTTATTATGGGAAATGAAACGAACATGTAAACGCGTAAGACTGTTTAAAGAAAATCTGAGTGCCATGTTGCAACAATGAGGACTTGTGCAGAGAGCAACAGTGGCTACAGTAGAATTAGCATGTAGATTGATCTGTTTAGTTTTTTAGCCAGACATCTTGGTGGAAAAAAAACTCATCTTGGCCCCAAGTCTAAATTTTAATGCACTCACTCACAAGTTCCTTTTCTTTTAACTCAATTTCTTACTACTCCTCCTTTTCTTTTCATCAAGGCCCCGGCACCATCTCTCTCTCTCTCTCTTTCTGTCCCTTACCATCTCTTCTTAAGCCTTTCAGGGACCCCAGCCAGCTAGCGTGGGGACCCTCATCATGCCTGTGTAGGTGCACGCACAAAAGCTATGAAAGAATAAGTGAGACGGGGAGAAGGGAAGAAAGGACTGAAGGGAATGCAAGCTAACACGCAAGAATGAAATTGCAATTCTTTCTTTTCTTGCTTTGAGAAGGAGAAAGAAGGGAAGAAAGCGCCAGTATGAGGGGATTAGCAGACCCTAGGCATGTCGCAGAAACCCCTCGCATTTCTGGTTTCTTTGTTTGGAGCTGACCAGAGCTTGTTGACAAAGCACTGCATGTTTGGGAAGGGGGATAGTAGGGGTCAACTTTATAGGGGGGATTGGCACAGGATGTGTGTGTGCGTGTGTGTGTGTGTGTGTGTGTGTGTGTGTGTGTGTGTGTGTGTGTGTGTACGTGCGTGCGTGCGTGAGAGAGAGAGAGTAAAGGGGAGGGAGGATGTGGGGGTCATGACAAGGAGGAGCCCTGGCGTTAGTAATTAGTGGTGTTTCAGCTATGGATCTTCTTTGGTGGTCTCTCCTCTCTAATGTTACAAAACTCTGAATCTTGTAATCTCCCATCACCAACTACCACCACCACCTCCTGGGTAGTCACACACACACACGCACACACACACACACACACACACACACACATACACACACAGAGATTATTCTCTGTCTCTCTCTCTCTCCCTCTCTCTCGCTCTCTCTCTCTGTGCGTGTGTATTAGTCACCTGAATAAAATGGTCCAATACAAAGGTGTGTGTGTATGAGGTACGTGGAGCCAAGTGTGTGTGCGTCACTGCCTGGGCAAGACCCACCTGTGTTCTCCACTGGGCTTCCAAAGCTACCGAAACAAACACACACACACACACTCAAGTTTTCTATATCTCATACACACACTTGAACATTCATGTCCACAGAAGACAGCCTGTGTCGCTGTCCAAGAATTTTATGGTGATGGTTTGGCTGAATGTGAGCATGCATGGTCGGTTGGCGCTGCCTGCTCAGGTGGGACTGTGGCACAACATCATCAACAAGATCTTAACACACGCATAAGCACTCACACCTCTGGACGCTGTTATTATTACCTGATGCATATGCTAATGATGTGTCATTAGGTTCGGTTGATTGGACATTTCACAGCAGGTATGAGGATTCTTGAGTCCTGAGCTCTGTAAGCAGCCAGATGCAGAAGGAAGGCTGTGGTTAGAGGTGTGTGTGCTGACGTGTCTGAATCCGTGAGCCCAGAAAACATGCTGAAAAATAATATTTTAACATTGATGGGTCACTGATTTAACCTTTGCAGTTGCTAGATCGAGTGTAACTTCACATCTGCTGGGTTACTTCGTTAATGTTAACTCTGTTAGCTCTTTGCTAGGACGGCCACCTCTAAATTCAGAAAATTTGTGTCCAGTTGGCGGTTGAATTTATAAATCCCACCAAAAAAACACTTTACTTTTTATTTCCAGGTGTAGCATCCAGGGCAGTGTGATCTGCAGCAATGCAGTCATTGGCAGAGGAGCAGACCTCAAATACTGTTTGGTGGGAAGTGGACAACGAATTGAACCAGAAGGTGAGAAGCGCCAGAATAAACAAGCAGAAATAAAACTGGGTTCTGAAATTTCTGTTCTCAATTTCTTCAGTATACAATAAACCTGTCGTCATGTCTGTAATATGAAATGTGCTCTTATTTTCTGCATTTTTCACTAAATCACAGTCTGAGTCATTGTTTTTTCAGTGTTGCACACACAAATGTTATGAATGCATTTAAATGATCGTATCAGAGATTGGTCATATGCTACCTAAAAAAAACATTTTAAAATCTTAATATGTAAACAATATTTTCATTTGGAATCGACTCAGGTGAGGTGTTAATGTGTGTGGTGTCCTTTTTAAAGTGCCAGCAAGGAACTTTTCTTCATTCTCTGATCTGATTTCTCTGAATATCTTTCTTTAAAAAAATGTCATCTACCTTTTTGTCCCCAAAGTCAGCCGTGTGTGTGTGTGTGTGTGTGTGTGTGTGTGTGTGTGTGTGTGTGTGTGCGTGCGTGCGTGCGTGCGTGCGTGTGTTACATTGGTGAGAGGTTAGAGAGCAGGGCCAGAACAGGACCACCCAGAATTCAACAGCAGCCTGCAGCCACACACGCACAGTCACACACAAATCCTGAAACATGTAAGAAAAAGGGAGCGAGCTTGGTGACCAGACTGAGCGTCCTAATTGAGTGAACAACAGGGAGCTCGGGGTGGCGACAAAGCTAAAGGTGTTTTAAAATGAAATTGTTGAAGCCACTTTGGAGCCAGCAGCGTGCCATTGCTCTGGAATAAAGCTAATCTCACATTAGCATTTTTTTAATTACAAAGTTATTTTACACTATTGAGCTACCAGGCTGCATGGTTATTGTACATTTACTGTATCACCAAACCTCAGTCACACAAATCTTCAGCCTCTCTGATAAAGTGTAGGTCTTCAACATGTTATAACAACACTCATTTGCCATTTTCGATACATTTTCTTTTTCTTCTTGCCATTTTTTTTATTTTAGTCTCTTGAACTATTATAGTCTGCTAAATATCTATAACTTAAAAGATATGAATGATCTTAAATTTTCTAATTTATTGGAAAAACTAAAAAGGTGCGAGCTTGTTCGCAAAAAAATCTAACTAGGATGCTGAGAAATTACAAAAAAATAGGTTCAAATTAAATTAAGCATTATTCTGCTCATGTAGATGTTTTTAGAGTTGTGTAAATAAAATAACAAACCAAATGTAAAGCTTCCCTATTTTTATTTGGCATTAAAATCTTTGAATTGACACAGTATTGGTTCTTGTTGCCATTCTAGCCAGCTGACTCGAGGCTGCTAAAGACATTAGCCGCCCACCCCACTGCTGAAGCTGTTAGCAGCCAAAGACCACCCTGACAGCTTTCAACAAACAGAAACATGCGCTGCATTCATATTGGTCCATCGGGTGTTGATATGTAAAAGATGCATGGGCCTCCTTCCTGCGTGCTTTGATGTGCCTTGTCTGAAGCGGTTGTAAGATGTTTGTCCATTTCATGTTCATGCTCACTTATTAAAATGCAATTACTTTACATTAAAATCACACCGGTATGTTTTTGATTAAACATTTGCCTTTCTGCCCTTTATCACAGCTCCAGTAATAGAAACTTGCACCCTGTTGCTAGCAATATTAGTTTCTGACTGGTCATCAAGCTTAAACTGATTACATTTTCCTTCTTTTCTTCCCTCTCCTGCTATCCCATGCTCCATTTGTCCTCCCTTCACACAACAGTGGCTAAGTTCATTCTGAGCAAGAGATTCCTTCACACTAAAACCTGTCTGTGTGGATGGAACATCGCTCTCTGCCACCGTTTACTTTGGACCGGTACTTGGTGATGGAGGGATCCAAGGAGGACTTGTGGTTGCGCTTCTTGCGCTAGGCTAGCTTATGGTTGAAAATGAAGCTCTGATCTGAGAGCTGGAGCAGATAAATATTTTGCATGGATCAGTGTAATAGCTTCATTAACATAATTTAGATTCATAAATTTAATTCCACCATTTAGTAATTGGATGAATTCTGGGTATAACAACATCTGGGTCTAAACACTAAACTCTAATGAGGCAGCTGGGGGCTGCAAGACTGTTCGCGGTCTACTTTTTCTTAACACAGACACTTTTGTGAACTCTTAACATCAGACAACAAAACTCAGGATGTGACAGGAAAAGTGGAAAAAGAAATAATCCTCATCTTTTAACAGTAGCGCCTGTTTTTGAGTTCTAGAGATGCTACTTTAGGTGTAAAAACTCTTCTAAGTTAACATTTTGCATAGCATCATTAGCCTAAAGGGTAAAGCATAACTTATTTATGTAATAAAATGAGTGAATAGTGATTGGAGGAGAAAGTCAGAGAGTAAACTTTAGGTGTCAGTCGTCACCACCAACCTCTTCCTGCTTAATCATGCAAATGTGTTTGCTTCCTCAGAGAGGAAAACACATCTGGTAAGCACTTTGCAACTAAAAAGAGTTTTTTTTTAAGCCTTCGATATTTCTGAATAACATACGTGTCATTCATTGAGTAACACACACTACCTGGCAAAAAAATATTGCCACCACAAAGAAAGTCACACACACTAATATTTTGTTGGGCCACATTAAGCGTATATTACAGCATACATTCATTGTGGCATTGTTTTGATAAGCTTCTGCAATGTCGCAAGATTTATTTCCATCCAGTGTTGCATTAATGTTTCACCAAGATCTTGCATTGATGATGGTAGAGTCTGGCCTATGCACAAAGCCTTCTCCAGCACATCCCAAAGATTCTTAATGGAGTTATGGTCTGGACTCTGTGGTGACCAGTCCATGTGTGAGAAGATTGTCTCATGCTCCCTGAACCACTCTTTCACTATTGGAGCCCGATGAATCCTGGCATTGTCATCTTGGAATATGGCCGTGCCATCAGGGAAGATGGAATAACCTGGTCATTCTGTATATTCAGGTGGTCAGGTGACCTCATTTTTGGAGCACATTCTGTTGCTGAACCTAGACTTGACCAACTGCAGCAATCCCAGATTATGGCACTGCCCTCACAGGCTTGTACAATAGGCACTTACCCTGATGTGCCCATCACTCTGGAACAGGGTACATCTGGACTCTTAGACCAGTTAAACAATGCGTTGGACAGTTCTCAAAGGTTGAATATGGACCATTTTAATAAAAAGCTATGTAAAAAATGTTTAAATGCCTCCACGGGGCATTTAGAGGTGTGCAGAATGAATGTACAGTTTCTCTTTTAAAAGCTAAATGTAAAAAAAAAAAACCTATGATCAAAATTTTATTTTGACAGGCACGACAATGGTTTTATGTTTACATTAACCAACCACTAGGGGGCACCGTTGCAGTAAAAATTCTGCTTGGCAAGGCGAGAGTGAGACTGTGTAAAATGGCGGCCTTGTTAAATTAAGCAGCTGATTCTGAGCCCAGAAGATGTTCTAACAGTAAATACTGTTGTAAAATAAACTTCTGAGTAGAAACTAGTCCTTACCCTGTACAATTCGACACTGGACATGTTGTTGACTGGTCACTTCACGTATCAGCAGTGAACAAACACCCTGACGGCTAGAAAATGTGTTCTGTTGTAGCACTACCACCTCTAAACACTATCAGTCGCTATACTGTTCGTGTTCCATATTCAACCTTTTACCCAATTTTAGTTGTTTCTACAATCTCCTTAGATGTTTTCTCTGCTTAACGCATTATCTGACCATTCTCAAACAGACTAGCTTCTTTTGCACGACCACCAGATGTGTCTTTCCAAATGGTTGTTTAAGAAATTAGAAGCAACTCATTGCACCAGTTGGGGTCCAATAACTTGTTGCCAGCTGTAAGCTAATCGCCCATGCAATAATTTCCAAATAGGAAGCTCGTACGTATTTGCTTAGTTGAATTCAGGTGGAGACTTTTTTTCTTAGGCAGGTTAGTGTGTATTTTTCTGTTATTTGCATTAAGTCAGGATCTCACTGGGATGTTAGCGTTGGTGACTAGCTAGAGGCATCACATTTTGAGGATACGTATGCAAAACTATAATTAAAGTCACAGAATTTTCACTTACAAAATTTAGATGAGACTACAAATATCGTGCAAAATGTTCTGTAACAATTTGGTCAAAAAGTGTTTTAAACATGGCTTAGGTCAAGGGTGGGCAACTCCGATCATCAAGGGCCACTACCTAGCATGTTTTAGTTGTTTTTCTGTTCCGACACACTTAATTCAGCAGGTCATCGAGCTATTTAGAGGCCGTTCAATCACATGTTGATTAAAATCAGGTCTGTTAAAGCAGGGAAACAACTAAAACATGCTGGATGGTGGTCCTTAAGCACCAGGATTGCCCAACCTTGCCTAACATGTTTTCAAATGATCCTTTTATTTGTAATTTTGTTGCCCTAGCATTGGAATTTGGGCCGGTCTCGTGTCTGGGATGACAGGTTCACTTTGCTTTCGTTTGGCACATTTTGACTCAAGGAAAATAAATTAAAAAGGGATTCAGGCGTCCCTGACACTTCTGTGAAAATTTGTGACAAGACAGTCCCAGTCAGGTTAAATTGTAATAAGGTTAATAAAACAATCAGTTGGACGTTGATACTGAATAAACAACAGGTTCACCTTCAACCACAGTGTGTCACATATTTAGAAATTTGGGAGATCATTTTATCAACCTTGAACATTGAACCAGTGTTTTTTGGGTAAATTTTCATTAACTAAGAACTTTGTTCGAGACGAACTGGGAAGATCTTAATTTATTTCATCTGTAAACGTTTCTTTTGTTTACAGCTGAGCGGACAAACGAGGTCATTGTTGGAACGGACCAGCTGATGGAGATCTAGGATGGGGGGGTGACATTACCTCACCTCACTGACCTGAGAGCAGCAAAAACGATAACAACTCATTTCTCCGCTGACTTTTTTTTTTCAGTGAAAATAAAAAGAAATGTACTTGAACTCAAAACTTTTTTGTGTTTTTTTTATCTATTTTTTCTAAATAAAAAAATAGTCTTCATTCTGACTGATGGTACTGGACATATCTATTATCAGATCATTTTTATGATTCGTACTCGATTACAGTCTTCCAGGTGGGAGGAGTGTGAGCTCACACACGTTTTGAGTGTGTGGAGGTGTTTACACATGCACGCTGTGCAGCTGTGGGGACCAGAGATGGGAAGAAAAAGCAGTGGGAAGGGTTTCCACAATGGCGTGCATGTGTGTGTGTGTGCGGGGGTGAAGTTTATTTGTACACAAAAATGGTGTATGCGAAGGCCCTGGACCACCCAGCTCGATCCTGTATCAGTTAACACCGACACCCCGCCCGGACACACACTCACACGCAGCAGAGGAGGAAACTGACTCACGTCTGATGCTTTTCTCTCCTTGTCCTCTTCCACTTTCTGCCCCCTTTGCTGTCACAAGATTTACGGTGTTCTACTGGTGGAATTTTTCTTAAATTACAGGTCTGATGTTTCTGAGTCATGTAGAAAGCAGATGAGGATGGGGACGTCTGAATTGTGTGCATGTGGGGGGTAATTTTTTTCTGTTGTCTGTGGCCTTGCTCGAGTTGTTTTGTGTCCCCTGTGGCCTGATTATTTGATACATGTGTTTGAGGAGAACATTAATGTATTTTCTCTTCACTCCTCTTTAAGTTATTGGAGATCCCTTTAAGTTGGAATGCGTTAACCTTCGTAACTTGGTGTCACTTCCTGTTGAGGCTTGCCAAATGTGATGGTGCTAAGTTAACTAACAGTGACCTGAGCTGTTAACTCGTGAAATCAACACTTAGGTTCCCTCTGTCTGTACTCGTAAACTCAGCTGTGTTGATCTTTTCAGGAGAATTTTACCCTGAGCCCAGGTTTTAACCTTGTGGTTATGTCTTGCAGCTGTTTGTGTTTAGGCAGAAATTTGTATATTTGCACGAAGACCACAGAATCCCCTGCAGTACAAGCCCACCTGTGTCTGAATCCCTGCAGCATGTGTGTGTGTGTGCACACTCACCTGTACACTTGATCTGTTTAATGCACTGTCGAATACACATATGAACAACTTCCTGTGTGCACATATAGGCAACAAGCGTATTAGCAGACGTGGGCTTCTGTAACACAAGCCGAGATGTCAAGGTTTCTGTATGGTCTTTTTATTTATTTTTTTCAGTAAATAATTATTCCTCCCAAACTAGATCATGTTAAGAAATGAGCTGCAAACTCAAACGTTTCCATGAACAACTTGCTCTTTGGAACCTTTACAGTGGTGTATTTGGTGCTGGCAGCCAAAACATAAACGTATGATTTAATTTGCCCTGAGAGCGTTTCCTCGTCTGTGTGTTGAGTGTTTGAGCCTGATTGTTGCGTGTCACTGTGAAAAGTGCACTTTATTTTCCATTCATGCATTTGCACAATGGATCCTGAAGAAAATGAATGTATGAAAGCATATATTAACCAGTTAGGGGAAGATTTACGTTTTTGGCTGTAGTTGATGTTTGGTAAAACTCGAAAAATTAGAATATGGTGAAAAGGTTCATTTATTTAAGTAATTCAACCTAAAAGGTGAATCTAATATATGAGATAGACTCATTACATGTAAAGCTGGATATTTCAGTTCTTTGTTAAAACTGTGATGGTTAGGGCTTACAGCTGATGAAAACCCCACATAAAAAAAACAGACAATTAGAATATTGTGAAAAAGTTCAATATTCTGGACTCAAGGTGTCACACTCTGATCAGCTAATGAATCTAATATACCTGCAAAGGGTTCCTGGGCCTTTAGATGGTCTCTCAGTCTAAGCTAAATGCACTATGCACCATTCTCATTTTTTGAGTTTCACATATGTGTACCTTTATTTTCACACACCAAATTGGCACCTTCTCCTTTTTAACTTGTGATTTAAAAACACAGATGTATATAGTAAAATGCAGCTGGTGGTTATAAAATAGCAGTTCATTTATTAGGTAATCACATTTTCTACACTGAAGAAGTCATTAAATTATCATTTGAGAACAATCTTTTTCTCCGGCCACCTGAAGATAATTTACTTAATTAAAAACTGTGTTAGGGTTCCAAAGGCTGTTAAAAAGAAACACATTTTGACCATTTAATAGAAATAACTTTACGTGAACTCTCTTCTTCAGCTGTAATGAAAACAGTCCAAAACAAAATAAAAAAATTCAGAGAAGCTTTTTAAAAGCAGTTGTAAATTAACCTCATAATCTGTATTTCTGTTTTTTGAGTCAGTACAAAGAAAAATGGAGACGCAGAGCTAAAAAAAAGAGCAGCCTTTCTTATTTTGTGTAGAAAATACACATTTTAAAATTGTATTTTTTTTCTCATGTCAGCTTTCAGTTAAAATGTTCAAAACATGAACTGGAGAATTGTGACATTGACTCCAGAATGTGCAGCTTAAAAAAAGAAGTTGAGCTTTAAAAAAAGGTAGGAAAACAGTTGACCATCTTTACAAGTGTTGGTTTCTGAGAAGTCCCCTGTCTGTCATTTCTCCTAAACATGGAAATGTGAATTAAACTGCGTGAGATGGTTCAGCTGGATGGATGAAAGAGACAAATGTGCTCTAGACAGACATATGCACGTAGAGGTATAGGGTGGGGTCTGAGCTCTGGGTGGGGGGTTGCCTGAGTAGATGGGTGGCTTCATTGCTTGAGGGCTGATTGTGGGTGAGCAGGAGACACACACACACTCACACAGAACGAGAAGGCCACCCAAGTGGTCGTCAGTCAGAAACCTGCGTGTGTTTGCCGCTGACCTCTACGCATTAGCACAACACTTCCTCAATTTGTCTTCTGTGTTCTTCAACCACAAATAAATTTCCTCCCTCTTTTTTCCACATGCCGCCTTCCAAGTCGCTAGCACCCCCCCATTCTTCCGTGGGGACGATCAAACCCACACAAACATGTACGCACCGAACCCTGCCCATCTCTGACATAAATATCTAAAAACGCACAAGAACTCTTTTCACCAACTCCAGTTTTAAAACACCTATCTGTGGCAGTAAATTCATATCTTTTTCTAAATGTTTCTGTTTGTCACTGCAGACTCCCAGCCAGCACCACCGCCAAGCTAATTAACTAAACATTGAGTCACCGCTCGACAGGGATCAAGTCTTGAAGTAAAAGTGCTCAACAGCTGCAAACAAATCATTCAACATGATCATTTTCTGTCATTTTAACCATCTCAGATATAACCACCTCTTTAACCCCTAAATCTAGGTGCAATATCTTAAAAAATGACTCTGATCGTTAGGATTGAGGGATTTTTTCCCATCACTTGCAAATTACAAAGGCGCAGAAACGTTTTGAAGCCATGTAGTTCAGCTGTATTTGCTCTCAGACATATATAGGCACTTTGTTGCCTGTGAGGCCCTGCGGTTTTCTTTCAAACCCACAGGTCTAAGTTTGCATTGCCACCTGCTAGTCACATCTGACAATACCTCTGTTACAACCGCGCAAACAAAGACTTAAAGAAAAGTGTGTTTCTCTGTCGCTTTCTGTGTTCTGTGTGTTTTGCCCCAGAAAGGCAACCATTCATTACGATGACAAAAGTGTAAAGAAATGCATTATCATAATTAATTTTGTGTGAGTCTGTGGGTGGCAGCTTCAACTTTAGTCTGACTCTGATGGAGGTTCTCACTACACACAGTCTGTTTGGTTTTTTTCATCGCCTTTTAGGTGATATCTGGGGAATGTGGAAAGATATTAAAACACAATGTTTGATGGAGGTTTTTGCTTCAAACAAATGTTTAATAAATAAACATCCATCCATTTTGTTCCGCTTATCCGGAGTCAGGTTGCGGGGGTAGTAGTCTAAGGAGAGAGGCCCAGACTTCCCTCTCCCCAGCCACTTGGGCCAGCTCCTCCGGGGGAATCCCAAGGCGTTCCCTGGCCAGGTGAGAGACATAGTCCCTCCACCATGTCCTGGGTCTACCTTTAGGTCTCCTCCTGGCTGGACATGCCCGGAAAACCTCACCAGGGAGGCGTCCAGGAGGCATCCTGACCAGATGTCCGAGCCACCTCAACTGGCTCCTCTCGATGTGGAGGAGCAGCGGGTCTACTCCGAGCCTCTCCCAGATGACCGAGCTTCTCACCCTATCTCTAAGGGCGAGCCCATCCACTCTTCGGAGAAAACTTATTTCGGCCGCTTGTATCCGCAATCTCATACTTTCGGTCACTACCCAAAGCTCATGACCATAGGTGAGGGTAGGAACGTAGATCGACCGGTAAATTGAGAGCTTCGCCTTCTGACTCAGCTCTCCCTTCACCACGACAGACCGGTACAACGCCCGCATCACTGCAGATGCAGCACCAATTCGCCTATTGATTCCCACCCCCCACCCCCCCACCCCCCCACCCCATGCGCCGTATGGTGGACCAGAATCCCCTCAAAGCCATACGGAAGTCTTGCCGTATGGAAGTCTTGCTCCATGGTCTCACCGAACTCCTCCCATGCGCGGGTTTTTGCCTTGGCGACCACCCGAGCCGCGTTCCGCTTGGACTGCCGCTACCCGTCAGCTGCCTCTCGAGTCCCACAGGCTAAAAAGACCTGATAAGACTCTTTCTTCAGCTTGACAGCATCCCTAACTGCCAGTGTCCACCAGCGGGTTCGGGGGTTGCCACCACGACAGGCACCAACGATCATGTGACCACAACTCCGGTCGGCTGCCTCAACAATGGAGGCACAGAACAGGGTCCATTCAGACTCAATGTCCCCCGCCTCCCCCGGAAACTTTTTGGAAGTTCTGTCAGAGGTGGGAATTGAAGCTCCTTCTGACAAGAGACTGCCATATGTTCCCAGCAGACCCTCGGGATACGTTTGGGCCTGCCTGGTCTGACCGGCATCCTCCCCCACCATCTGAGCCAACTCACCACCAGGTAGTGGTGAGTTGACAGCTCTGCCCCTCTCTTCACCCGAGTGTCCAAGACATGCGGCCACAGGTCAGATGAAACAACAACAAAG